GTATGGGATGACTCAGTTTTGCAGGCGTGATCGTTCTGTGTAGCGCATACCTCCCCACATTGAATACATTATTACGTACCCAGCCGAAATGTATTCTTCAGAAGTAATAAATATCGTCACGTAGGACGAGTCAGTATAGACACTGACATGACCTACATTCAAGATCTAATAGATTAAGTAGTTACATCACAAATCTACAATTTTGGAGTAGTAGTAATACCAAACCAGCCCAGGATTCAACACTGATGAGAGTGACTAAAGAAATGCATCATGCTATTTATACTTTTATTTACTTTAACTTCATCGGTTGACTTCTACTTGTGTTAAAGCAATATCTTATTGATCTGTTGATTAATGCTCACGCGTATTGTAATGCAATGCTGAATAATATTCATACTCACCTTACTAGCTCGACCGATGCAAATTGTGGTGTGTGTTACTTATATTGACATAAGTAGTATATGATGTTACTCGTGAACAGAAGGTTTGACAGCAGAGAAACAAGAATATCGAACAGTAAAGAATGGAAACAGGATGCAATTTGTATGAAAATGCAAGAACAATGAAGTTTGAGTCATTTCGAGACAATTGGTGGACATTTTGCAAATTAAGCATTTACTTTATAATTGTTATATTTTATTAACAAGTCCTGTAATTTTGCATTAAATAGATTCGATTGTCCACACTGCTGTTCGTGTTCACTACACAAATAACCAATGATTTGTATTTACAATAAGCCATGATGGTTTAGAAGTACTAAACATCACATTGTTAATGGTCACGTACGACGAGTCAGCATAGAAAATGGTGCGACTTCGACGTAAGATCGTATAAACTGTGTAGTCATGTCATGACAAATCTACAATTTCAGGATCACATCTATCATTGTAATAGTACTAATATCGAACAGGACAACAAATCTACAAGTAAAGTTTAACGACACATGCAGCCCGACTTTCAGTATTGAGAGATAAACCATGCATCATGTAAGCTTTATAGTTTGCCCAGATCTTTCTGTATCACATGGATAACACGTAAGCTATAACTTAGGTAAATGGTGAGTTTGACTTGTTTGACTTTGTATTGTTAAAAATAACCATATTACGCTAACTACAGATTTACTTAGGTGGTTAAAATGGTTCAAATGGTTGTGGACGGAATAGAAGAAGCTTTCGCTTAACAGGCTTCCGTGTCTAGTAGCAGGGGATCACCAAATCCTCCAGGCAGGAACCTAAATATGTTAACAATAAAACAAGAAAAGATATTAGTAAATCATAGTGCAATACTATCCTTAGTTCTTAAGAATAGATCAAGTTGCCTCTTAAAGGACTTCTAAGAAGTCGCTTGGACTAGCTCGACCGGCAGCGAAATCTAGCATTTGACAACTCTTAAGGAGTAGAAGTTGTGTCTACGATCCGTTCTGCTATGTTGTGTCCCCAGTTTTTGGGTGTTACCCCCTAGGTTAGTGTTGGAACTAAGCTTAAGTAGGTGTTTGAGAGGATGTCCAGAAGTGTTAAGGATACTACAAGCCATCAGAAGGTCACCTCTAAGACGTCTATACTCTAATGGGTATAGGTTAAGTGAATGGAGGCGCCTTAGTAAAGTTTAAACTTGAGTCCTCGAACTGATTTCGTGGCTCGCTTTTGGATACGCTCCAGGGTGTCCTTATCCTTTTGGAGTGAGGAGGGAAATACTATGTTTCCGTACTCTAAATGGGGACGGATAAAACTATTGAAGATTATATGGAAAGTTCTTCCGTCAAACTGGTCAAAAATGCGCTTCAATGTTACCAGTGCAAGGTTTGCTCGGAAGGCATTTTTGTAACAGTTGGCGTAAGACATCAAATCGTAGGGCACCAGGACTCCTAAATCTTTTTCGACTTAGGATACTACTAGAGAGGAGTTACCTAAGTTATAACAGTAGTCTGCGACATGTCACAGATGGACTACTTTACACTTTGAAGTGTTAAAGGTAAGTCCGTTATCGTCTGCCCAACTTTGAAGTCGAGTCAGATCCTCCTTAAGTGCCTGTATATCGTCTTGGTTGCGCATCTCCCTCCAAAGTTTTACGTCGTCGGCAAAAAGTAATAGGTCTGATGATACATGTTGAGGAGGATCATTTATATAAATCAAGAAGAGAAGAGGTCCTAGTACTGAGCCCCGGGGGACCCCACTAGGACATTCCATATCCTGAGATAAAGTGAAATTAACCCTGACCCTAAAGTGTCGATTTTTCAGGCATGAAGTGAGCCAATCGATTAGAGGTGGTCTGATACCCAATCGTATGGGCTTATTGATAAGACATGTATGGTTAACCTCACCAAAAGCTTTTGAGAAATCTAGGTAGATGATATCAACCTTCCCCCTGTGGTCATGGATGCTTGTCCATCTGTCCACCGCAGTCAGCAGGTTGGTAATACAAGAGTAACCCTTCCTGAATCCATGCTGTTTGGGAGAGAAGAAGTTTAAGGACAGTAAATAGTTATTTATACAATCGCATATCAGGGACTTCATGATTTTTGAAGGTATGGAGAGAAAAGCCACAAGTCGGTAGCTTGAAGGTTCGCTGCGTCGACCTCCTTTGAAAATTAGTGTGATGTGAGACAGCCTCCAACTTTACGGTAGTTTTCCTCGACTTAGCGAGTGTGGGAACATGACCCTAAGCGGAGTTGTCAAAATTGAGGCTGCTTCCCTCAGTATGGCGGAATGGACCATGTCCGGGCCAGGAGAAATGTCTAATCTTAAGTGCTGCAGTTTCCGAAACACCAAGCCTGCGCTTAGGTTCACTTCGGAAAGTCCTGTGGAATTGCAAACGAAACTGTCATCAGTAAAGTTAATGTCGGTCGATTGAAATGTCTGGGAGTAATGTTCAGTCAGAAGATTAGCGGCGTCGCCATCGCTGTCGGTCTGGCCGTTAAGACCTACCAGTTGGGAAACTCCAGTTTTGGCTTGACGAAGAGAGGCTGCATAACGGAATAAGCTTTAAGGACTAGAGGCAAATTTGTCCATAAGCTTTGTCTGGTACTGAAGCCTATCTTCTCTTATAGCCTTCGTGCATATGTTCCTGATATGTTTATATTGCTTGTACTCTCCGTCGTTGTCAGTTAGTTTGTATTCCATCGAGTATGCCATTTGGAAACAAGTGTGAGGGTTTGACCAAGTCAGAGTTGGATACAGAATGCTGGTGGGCGGTCTATGCCCTTCCATGAGGGGTAACAGGTGTAGGTATTGTAGGTATGTAAACAAGAAAAACTAGTAATGTGCACGGATTCTAATTCTCTATAGCGTTGAAAAACAGCCCGTCGAAAGCAGTTATCCTGGTCTCAAATGACATGCATGGTCACCCGCAAATGTAACAATATGAAATTCCTGAGCAGTGTTTAATAAAAATAAATACGTATTACAACCGTATTCTTTTGTTAACTAAGTGGTAATTCATAAGACTTTTGTTGGACTAAATCTTTCCATATAGGCTAACCAGCTTCGATCGTTTTTGTTGATGTATTATAGTAAAAACCAAATATTAAAAACTTGCAGTTACAAATTTCCTGCAGTAAAACGTTTGCGCAGTGTCTGTCGTTTAATAAATTTTTTGAAGATATCAACATTAACTTACATGACAAATAATATTTAAGGCCTTTTAAGTGCCTAAGTGAAGCAATTTTTTCAAAGTTCTAAAATATATCATCATGAACTTGTCTAACAATGACAATTAAATTGTAACAAATGTGGATTAGTGTGTAAAAATCTTCAGGATAAAAATGAAGCATTTGGTGATTATAAGCGATTTCATATATTATAAACACGAGGGACCTACGGTCATGAGATGAAATGTTATTTCAGTAAATCGACTCTTGTAGTTTTAAAACAAACAAGATCCTATTGAAGCTAGAAAATCTTGGCATCTCCGGACCTCTCCTAAGACGGCTTATGGATTTCCTACTGGGTCGTAGGCGGAAAGTGAGAGTAAATTCGAAGTTTTTCACTTTGAAACCAGTACTTAGTGGAGTACTTCAAGGCTCTGTAGTAGGCCTTTTAGTTTTCATATTGTATGTAAATGATCTCACAAGTATAGTTGAGTCCCAAGTGTTATTGTACGCTGACGGTGTAAAAATCTGGCATGAAATAACAGGAGACGCAGATACATGCGCACTTCACGCAGACTTAAATATAGTGATTAACTGATATAGGGAGTGGCTGATGCCTGTAAAGGCGGCAAAGCATGTCCAAATACACGTTGTGGATACAATGGTAAATAAGTACGCATACGGGAAATGCCAGTACTCATGATCTGGTCTCACAAGGATCTTGTAGTGACAGTGAGTCATGATCTTAAAACCATAGCCCACTGTCAGGAGGTTACAGATAAGGGGTTTAGAACCCTGTGGTCTTTAAGACGAACATTCACCAAGTTAGATACTACTATGTTCACTACAGTATACACAACCTTTGTGACAACTAAGCTTGAAAACTATGTTCAGGCCTCAAGCCCCTGTTTAAAAGGTGACTCAGATATCCTGAAAAGGCACAGAGAGAAACTACTCTTGCGATTTCATAAATAGACCTCTTTACTCTGTCCTATCGCAGATTAAGAGGTGATCTGATTTTGATGTATAGAATAATAAGAAATAATTTTGGACCTAATGTATCTTCTCTTTTTTTTCTTGCCAGATCTAGACATCTCAGAGGACATCACTTGCAAGTAGAAAAGTCAAGAACGGACAAAATACGAGTGGCATACAGGTTTTCACACAAATTCTTAGAATCTGCTACATGAAGCAGTGGTGTCCGCGCCCTCAATTGAATAAGTTAAGAAAAGACTAGACACTCATAGAAGCATACTAGGAAAAAGATAACATGGGTCGTACGCCTTCTGTTTTTACTACACAATTCTGTGTGTTGTTTTACTACATCACATTTGTCAACCAGCGCGGTCACATATGCCCGGAATATTCGTCTTCTAACCAAAGTTTGAAAGACTAGTGCTTATCTTCCGTGCCGATGTGTATGTTGATATGGATAACTCATTAATTTCTCAAATCACTTGATTATCTTACTTCTAGCTGTCTAGGATTTTTAAAAGGTCCTTTTGCCTCAGTTAGAAGCACATGTATGTAGGGTGTTTTGCTTACATTTCATCACTTAGAACTTGGGCATTTGTTCGTAACTAGTGAATCAAAAGTCAAGAGGATGTCTTGGCAAGGCTTAAAAGGTGCCCAAAACGTTCTGGTGTTTCGATTCTGAGAAAACGTGTCGGCCATTAATTCTAAAATATTGCCAATTTAGTATGTTAAGATCTTTTTGCCAAATGATGTTGCTTCTTTCAGTGGTTACAAGAATCAAGCTATGTTTCACATAGAGTGTGTACATTTCCACAGTAACGGATTCACTCAGCACACACAATCTCTTCACAGCTATAATTTTTTGAGGGGTTGATTCTCCCTTTGTTCGGAGTCCTTGGAAAGAAATCACTTCTATAAATCGTAAACACTGACTCAAGTCCTGGTAATAAACAAACTCATTACTTCTCCCTGTCTGGAGCTGTAATCACTTTGCAGTTCCAGTATTGGTGGTTCCTTGGTGATTAGCGACGCGACCATCTCATAAAGTCTACAGCATATTGATACCCACTGAGCTGCGCCGTATTGCTTAGGAAGTTTGGCTTCTAATCTTCAGGTCGCGTGTCCAATCCACACCTTACCTACTTTGGTTTTCGGACCCAGGTTGTTTATCTGAACACGTCGGCATAAAGGGCACCGAATACACAAGTCACTTGATTTGCATGTGGGCTGTGATATTGCCCGGGTTCCCAGACCGAGACAGGTGGTCTTCTTAGGGGGCCACATCCGAAGCCTTCGGCCTAAAGGTCTGATCTACAAGGCAGTGGAACAACTTTAGGAGATGCGGCCCCATGGTAGCTGGTGACTAACAATAGGTTCATACAACATTTTTTCATTAGTATACTGGAGCTCACGTGCACCATTGGTTTGGAACCAGGGTTTTTCAGATCCCCTAGGTAGATCCGCCATATCCACAAACCCGGTTATAGCGTCGGACATTCGTTTTTCGTCCTCTCAATTTCGGAACCAGGTACTAGCACCAGCCATTACGAGTACTGTCGAAGCATAATACACAAGTCTGTTCTTTAGAAATAACATCCAATAGAACGTAGTGTCTACCTAGACTATTGATAACAAATATGTCAGTACTTTCAACCCTCGAGATAAAGTCGTGAACCATTTTGTTGGGACTGCGCTCAACCTCAAAATCATTTGCTCGTTTTTTCCGTGTTATTGGTTAGTTTCTTAACTGGATACACACTATACCTAGTTAGATCCCGCTAGGTTTTTAATTATTATGTGGACGGGTCTATGGTATGATTTAGGTACGTGGTACCTGCTGTCATAACAGACATATCCAGTAAAATGGACCAAAAAACACAAAAACTAGCACTACATATACTCATTATTGTTTCTATCATTATAACGTAAGATAGGATGAGTTATTTGCATTGCCATATTTCCATGATAATATCTTTAATAATTATGTAATATTTTAGCTGAATGGGACCGTTGGGTTATAACGACTGATGACAGGGTCAAGCATGATGCTCAATTTCAGTTCCTTAAACCTGTTGGTGGTTATATAACCGGTAAGTTGCGTGTTCATTTGTAAACGGACGTAATTTGCAAGGTGATCAAGCAAGAGTTTTCTTTATGAAGTCAGGTTTATCAGTTATGGTCTTGGGGCAAATATGGTATGTTATATTGCTTAGGTTTCATAAATAATATTTCTAGGGCTCTTGCAGATATGGATATGGATGGAAAAATGGACAAGAAAGAGTTTTCAATAGCTATGTTCCTCATAAAAAAAACATTGGAAGGTTTACCTTTGCCTCCTACTTTGCCTCCAGGTCTCAGGAAAGATCCTCAACCCGCATTTATTACATCAGGTGTTACTCTTTCATTGAGCTTAGTGAGCGATTCAGGTAATTATATTTAATGCATCCCTAATGAGTTTGACCATGAGAACAATTTAAATGTAGTTTTCAATGGTCACAAACTAATTTGCAACTTGTCGAAGTTGATAAAAATACTAAATGACCCTAATGTTTGGTTCTATTCAAAATCTTAACATTTCTAGCAACCTAATAATCTGCAAGTTCACTTCAAATTAAACAGATGTCCGGCATTTTGCCTCATGTATAAATACAATCGACATTTCACTTTGAACGTAAATCGTTTCCTTCAGGTATGAAAACATATTCATCGTTTCACCTCACTATGTTCATTCTCTTAGCAAACTTTACGTTCTGATGTTCTTATCCAGCATGATAAAGCGATTGTCAAAATTCTTTTTGCCGATTGGCTTTTATATCGTAAAATAGTACCATCTAGTACAAACATTATTGGTCAGTATGTCTCTAGGATTGACGATCTCAAACATTTCTTTTGCAACTATATTTAGTTAGTCCATCCGTAGTAGGATTCGCTAACATTCAAAAGCTCGAGCTTTTTTCATCAAAATATATTTACTTTAAACATTTTTCAAATTTGTGACCTTTTTTCTGGGTAACCGTATATGCTACAACAGCTGTAGACAACAATGTGTACAGATTGATCGAATACTCTTATTCTGTGAAAATGTGTACATTTAGTATCGTCATAATAATCTACCATTCCTCCTGTCTAATGATTACTTGGAATCTTATTTTTACGATTGTTTTCTCTAAATAAGGACATAATGGTCTTTGTTCTGTATCATCAAACGGGCAAGATTCTAATCCAGCATCTACAGCTTACCAGGATTGGATTATAACATCAGCCAATCGTCCACGCTATCGACTTCTTTTCAATCAACATGATCGAAATAAACGTGGCTTTCTCACAGGCGTAGAAGCAAGAAGTATTCTCTCACAATATGGCCTTCCAAACCCCATACTTGCTCATATCTGGTAATGTGATTACATTTATTATCTATTTATTGACGTGTTGTTAACTATTTGCTCTCCAGATGGTAAGTGTCCTTGTGGTTTCACTTTTTATCAAGTTTGGTCTTTAACAACTGTAGCTTTCAATGTTAATCCAAGTATCAAAGGAATTTGAAAAGAAATAAAAGTTAGCAAATATTTCATGATCATTTTTAAGAATGCTTTGTATATAACTAAATAACAGTACCAGTATAGGGGTTGCGGAGATTGTTAAGTTTTGATTGAGATCACTAACCGATTGATGCTAGACCACCATTGAAAACCTGGAAGCACTGGACGGCCGTTTCGTCCTATTATGGGACTCCTCAGCAGTGCGCAACCACTATCCTGCTCTCGGGATTCGAACCCAGGGCCTTCAGTCGCGCGTGCAAACGCTTAACCTACTGGACCACCGAGTCGGCATCCAATGGTGTTAATGTCTAACCTCAACCAATCCGCGAAGTTGCGCAACCATCTTCCGTTGTACTGCAGTAGACACCTGTTTCTACCCGACACGGACTAGCTCCACTAATCACGGCTTCTCGCCAGAACAATAGTTAGTTGGTTGCCACTTTCTTTTCTGTACCATTGGATGGAAACGGAGTTTAACTTTGTGACGAAGTGCCAGATTATTGTTAATTTTGCTTTCTTATTCTATTTACTTGAAATAGAAAATGCTTAAGTATCCAAAGGTGGATCCCATCTGACTAGGATACAAATAGTAACGGCGAAAGAAAAAATGTATAAATTCACTAATTAACGGTCAATGATATCCACACTTATCGAACAACAATGATGCATCAGTCACCTCGTTATCCAATGAAACAGTATATTTTACCATAAATGCTCATGTGTGTCACACTAAAATTGTACATAAAATAGTATCAAATAAGGTTTTGTATATGAAAATTCAAATCCAAAGAGGTATAAAAAATGTAAACTAGACATTGTTGACAGCCGTTAGTTTTCTCGAGCAGTCCAAATAATTGGCAATAATATGCAAAATCTTCGATTCGACTGACGTAGAAATCTCAGAATATAAGAATTTATGCAAATACCTTTAACTTTCTAATGTGTGGTTTCAGCTTGTTTTGGGATCATATACTAACCACTTTTTTTGTTTCTATAGGAATCTTGCAGATTTGGATAAAAATGGCAATTTAAACTGCGATGAATTTTGTATTGCAATTTTTTTAATTGAAAAAGCAATTTCTGGGTCTCAACTTCCAAATACGCTCCCTTCTGGTCTTCTTCCTTCAAATCAACCGGTATATATATATATATATATATATATATATATATATAATTCACACCTTTGAATAGGATGGGCTCAAATTTAATTTCTAGCTCACAATTGTAATGGTCTTAAATTACTCCCTGATATCAATCGAAACAAAGTATCCATTTTTTCATGTTTTGAGACTGACATCTGATTTGCACATACTTCTTTATAGTCTAAGATACGATATTATACAGGGTTCATGTGTTAACTAAATCATATCACATGTATATGACATCGATGTAAATCTCGTTCATCTTGGTGGTACGTTTCCACGTTGTTAAACTTCGGTATCATTAACAGGTTGCTGATGTCAAATCCAAAGAATCCCTTGGAGGCAATGACGTTCTGAAGCAGGAAGCTGTCAAATATTCTCAACCTAAAGACGACATTTCGCAAACTGATGTAAAACTACTGATATTACAGGTTTGCATGTTCATCCTCCTTTAGGTAGACTGATGTCGTGAACTTACAAAGGTAACCAAAATTCCTGTAAAGTACACCATAGTTAATGTCGTCTGTCACATTACCATCAGCCCTCACAGTTACCCAAATACACAAGCATCTCGACATGGAGAATACTAGCACTAAACATCAATCTTGTCAGAATAGTAAACATTGATGATGCAAATTACAAGCAACACCCACTGACATTGGCTGCTAAATTCTTATGTACCATTTGTACAGCTTGTTTGTCATTGCACAGTAAAATGTTATCGTTATCCTATCTGTCTACTCTACCACTAGACAATTCCGTCAAATGTGTTTTTAGAATATCACCAATGCGAAGTTCGAGAGAAATGAGGAAATTAAAGCTGTTCAGTTAGACCTAGCATTAATTCTTTGTTTCTTCTGTGTTTCAGTTAGTTAAACTGTAAACAGTAATAACGGAAAAACACCGTTCCTCATATCAATAACCTTTTACTTCAGTTAAGCCTCTGAGTATCAAAAGATAAACAGTTGTTAATAGGGAACCATCTAGTTAATGTTCCTTTGGCTCTAGCGTTCGGTGCAACACTGGCCAGATATTGCTGTTTGGTTTGCATGGGAATCTGGGCATTAAGAGTGAGGAGTTCGAATACCTCACTTGTTACCAAACTAGTTACATCAATTATTTTGGTTGGTAGCTCTCATGAACCAATGATTCTGGCAGCATATGAATGTTTACCTTAGAACAAAGCGGCTGAGTAAAATAGAGATCAAAACTGAAATTAAAATATAATTTATGTAAATTGGAACAATATTAAGACACGAAATGAACCTGTTTATTGTGGTACTGTATTCTTCATCTTTAACTGTGATGATTGTGTGGGTTATTATACAGTAGAAGCGCACCTACAAAACAGTTGAGTGACATCAGAACATACATTTCTGCGGGTGCCAGTGGACACTATGTTTGAACACTTGTTATCGCATGGCCTATGAGCCTATGTAAACCGTTTTATAATGGCACAATTATTTTAATGGCATATGAAAGTGACTCACATAATCAAACTGATAGTTTACTGACCAAAACGATCTATGGATTTCAACAGAGTGGGTTTCAAAAGACAGAAACACTGACCAACTAACTGAATATATTAGGGAGTTAAATCTATCAGTCGCTTACGTGGTCCAACTATGAATTATTTATTAGATAGCAATTTATTATTAGCGAACGGAAAAAAACATTCCTCTACTTCTCCTTTCAAATCACGTTGCGGATTGTAAGCTATAATTTTCCAGTCATTATGTGAACTATCCGTATTCATTATACCAGTTTAATTGTCAGACATTTGCCTTCGCCACTTTACTTTTGCTAGAACAATCCTACAATTTCACTTGCTTATCTGATAACTAATAATTCCGTTCTTATTGCTATTATTAGTTGCCTAACATTTTCATATGTTATACTTAGTATTTATAATAATCTTTATTCTGTATTGAAAAATTAGCGCGCATTTGGGCACACATCTCCTAGCGTTACTGCCAAACAAGATAATGAATCCAAGGAAAGCAAATCATGTACGATTAATATTTTTGCATCCGCTGTTTATCAGTTGAGCAAGTTTTTCTTTCATCTTGACATAATGTTAATAATGCTGCCAACTGTCTTTTTTCCTAACCTGTATTTTTAATGAAGCGATAGTCTCACAGTGTCTATGTGTTTAAAAGCAGAATAATAAAGGCCATCTGAATTTTTATTAATACGCAGAAGTCTATTTGATGAGAGAATTTAGTAAAAACGTAGGACGAAATTACTATCATTCCCCCTGAGTATCCATTTACGTATAATCTGTTTTCGGTACATTTATCAGATATTAAACTAAAAATAGTGTTTTTACAATGACAATTCTTAAGCTTAATTAACATGTTAATAGGATGATGGAGGATATTTGTTGCTCAGAATGCTTTTTAAGGTGTTATATTCTCTGAGTTGGATTATTTAGCCGTGAAACTTTCATTGTCACTTGAGATATTGTTGTGAATACATATTCTCTCAAATGCACTAGTACTACCGAGGGTGGGGAGAGTCAGCTCTCCTTCTCGAAACGATCTCACATGGCTACGCGTATACACCCACTGCCAGGGAAGTTCTACTCATTGCCTCCTCGTGGCGGGGGTGTTGTTTACGAAATTGAGAGGACGAAAAGCGAATGTCCGATGCTATAACTGGGTTTGTGGATATGGCGGATCTACCTAGGGGATTTGAAAAACCCTGACTCCAAATTAATGGTGCACGTGGGCTCCAGTATAGTGAGGGAAAAATGGTGTGTGAACCTATTGTTAGTCACCAGCTACCATGGGGCCGCATTTCCTAAAGTTGTTCCATTGCTTTGTGGATTAGTCCTTTAAGTCAAAGGCTCTGGGAGTGGCCGCCTAAGGGAATCACCCGCTGCTGTTTGGGCATCCGGGTAGTATTCCATCCCTCAGAATGTCCTAATGATATTATTTGTCTTTTGATGAAATGTATTCGCTTTCTAATGCTAAGTTAAAATTCGAGAGCTTGGTAACATTATAATTTGCTTACTTTGCTAAAGTTATTTTCAGTTAATCATTTAAACTGCTATCAGTGTTTGTACCATTATGAATAATTATGTGACTCGATTATCCTACGGGGGATTATTTTTGTCGCCTACGTTTATATCAATTTATTTCGTAACAGGTGGCTTACGGAGTTCATGTTGCACCGTTTGCCCCATTGGCCACATACGACTACTTAATTGGTGAGTGTTAACTAATGGCATAATAATATATATGATAGTTTCATACAATAGATCATTTCCAGCCCCAACAAGTAACTAATAACATCTCGTTTGCGGCACTAGATGACTTAGATATGGGCCTTAGGTAACTTGGTTATCAGGCAGTGTCGTAGATAAAAAACAAGTATAATCAAGTATTTTACCACCGTTCGAACTGGATTCCTACCAAATATCATACTTCACATATATTCAAACGTAGTACGTTATATTTTTGTCTGTCACAATTACTTATCGTATTATTTAACTCTTTGTTCAGTGTCTGGTGAATAATTCAGCTATAGATTCATGATGATTACCTTTTTGAGATATGACAACCATCAATTCCATTGTTCCTCCTATGATCATAGTAAATAAAAGCATTCATATCATAATAATAAATTTACCTTTTACTTACAATTTCCCCCAATGTTGAGTATGTATGGATTTGAAATATTTCTTTTTAGATTTAAGTTTTGAAGATAAACGAAGAGAAAATTTTCGGCAAGGTCAAGCAGAACTCGACAGACGAAAGCAGGAGTTGGCTGAAAAAATGCGTCTAGATGAAGAAATTCGTTTGGAGAATGAGCGATTAGAAAGGGAGAAGCAACAAAAATTACGGTATGTTTTCGTTTGTATGTGCCTAACATTTGCCAACCTGGCGTGTTTAAATAGTACATTATCATGATTTGCCATTAATTGTCGATTCAATCGATTGCATGCAGTTTTATGCTGGCCTTAGAAGTCATCAGCTTACAAATACTGTTTTTTAATTTCAAGCAATTCAGCAACAAATTATTCTTGAAACCAGTCATAATGTATTGATGCATTTAGTTTTCTCCTCGGAATTGTATACTTTCGTATATGAGTTTATTTATTCATTTAAATCACGATACAAGTATTTAGTTATATTTAACATCCACTAACCTGCTCCATCGAAGTTCCAAAGAAATGTCTACTATTTAGTTCTTGAGGTCGTTCATACTGCACCATCAATTTTTTCATTCTATTTGCCCCCAAATGCCCTGGCACGGCCGAGAATGGGGAGAGTCAGCTCTCCTTCTCGAAACGATCTCACATGGCCACGCGTATACACCCACTGCCAGGGAAGTTCTACTCATTGCCTCCTCGTGGCGGGGGTGTTGTTTACGAAATTGAGAGGACGAAAAGCGAATATCCGATGCTATAACTGGGTTTGTGGATATGGCGGATCTACCTAGGGGAGTTGGAAAACCATGATTTCAAGCATGGGTGAGTATCCCAGCCCTCTTACAAATCATTCGATTTGTGTGGCGCATATCTATTTGGTGCCTCCTTGTACCAATGTTTGTGTTTAAATAAATTTTTGGAAGACGTAGTTACTTTGTATGGATTGATCCTACTGATTTTTGTTTGGTCCTTGGTTACGTTTTTTATGTTCAAAGAACAAAAACGATGACTAGATTATACTGTTCATCGAGCAGTCTCTATCATTTGAGATGGTTGGTATATGTCATTCGAGTGTTCACAAACTTTTCAGTGAACCTGTTTTCATAGACATAACTCAAGAATACAACTAAACATATAAGCTACTACTACGTATTGTGAACAATCGGAATGAATATTTCTATCATTATTAGTAAGGTATGAATTTTCCAGTTGGCATGTATACATCCCGTAAGGATTGCCTCGGTGTAGGCATATTGTCACAAGTTTAGTCTAATAGATGGGTTCTGGTTAACAGTCAAATCTAAGACGCCTGTTTTATCCTATTTGAAACTCGTCAGATGGGGGTGGCTGGAACCTTACTAATAATGTTATAAACATCATATCAATTAGACAGGCTAGTGACTCAGTGGCTCAGTGGATAATATGTTGACCGTCTGGAGCAAATGATATTGGGTTTGAGTTCCAGTGTGAACACCAACATTAAAATACAGGTACATCTAGCTGACAAGTCCCAGTCAGCACAAAACACGCGTCTTGGACTCCATTACTAGCCCACACTCCATCTGTTTTGTAAAATTAAAGTGAATATAAATTAGTAGGTAAGGTTTTACAGTTAATATGAATGTTTTTTATAGACAGTCAACATAAATTTTCATAATTATTTCTTTTTGGTCATTATCTTGGGTTTAACCGGTCACTGTGTCGTTTGTCTTTTTTAAACACTTTCTTGATAAGTTTCTAAAAAAGGTTTTCTTTACATTAAGAATAACTAAATACTCTATTTTGAATTCTATTAATGTCTGGAATCCTATAAGTTAACTGGCACTTTGATTATTTTGTTTTCCACTTTATATTATCTGATTATGTAATTGTTTCAGTTTTATGATTTTTATCGTATACAATACCACTATGGATTAAAAATTGTACAAGCCATCATCATTGTAGTAGCTTACCCTAAATAATATTTTTCGACTTTATTTCACGAATTGATCTAAGTTAGGCCACCATTAAAAGCCTGAGAGCATTTTGCAGCTGTTTAGTCCTAGTGTGAGACATCTCAACGATTACTAACCCGGGAATCGAACTCAGGACCTTCGGTCTTGTGCGTGAACTCTTAACCTCTAGGCCAACGGTGTTAATGTCCAACTCGAATCACTTTACATTTGTAAGCTAGTTACTAGTGAGCATATGTTTCTTATCAATGTAGGGTTTTGTAAAGACCATTAAATTTTGATAGACTCTATATGGATAATTGATCTTGTTCGCACAATATCATGGATTTATTGAAGTTAGATATTAACACCGTTGAATGCCGACTCAGTCGTCTAAAGGTTAAGCGTTCGCGCGCAAGAGCGAAGATCCTAACTTCGGTCCCCGGATGAGTAGTCGTTGATGATCACTGCTGAGAAATCCCACACTAGGACACAACGACTGTCTAGTGCTTTTAGTTTTTCAATTGTAGTGTAAGGACTGAGAAATCTTTAATCTCCACCCGAACCCTACATTGATAAATAATATTTATTAAAATTTGAAATTTAATGTTCAAATGAACATATATATTATGTGAATTGATTTTGTTCTTTAAACTTCTTTGTTCTTTATCGCAGTATGGAGAAAGAGCGTCAGCAAGCTGTAGAAGCTGAAAAACAAGCAGAACTTTCAAGACAACTGGAAGCTCAGCGAGAACAACGTCGTCGTCAAGCCGTTGAACATAGGATGAAGGCAGCACGTGATGCAGAAAAGCAACGTCAAATAGAATCAGAACGGATTCGAACTGATGCTCTTTTAAAGGAGCGTAATCACATACAAACTTTGCTCGAGCAGGTAAGCTTAAGTTAAGTTCATGCACAAACACCATTCTTTTTCATTTTTGTTATAGAATTTTCCCTCGAGATTGAGACACTCCAATCGTGTTATAGACTAGCTACTAAAATAAGCCACCAAGTGTTGAGAAAATCCCTCGCTAATAACAACTAGTTTGGAACTGTAAAGTTATGTTGATTCGCACAAAAGACATCATTAATGTAGAACTAGGGCAATTTATCACAGCTTTCAAAGTCGAAAACATCTTTGCGCGTTTCAAAATTTGTATGCTTCATTTTATCTGCATTTCATCTGATAGAGAATTGCGTTTTTTCGAAGTTGTATTCAGTTGTAAAGAAAAGATGACCAGATCAGTAGAAATTTTTGCAGGAAAATCTCCACCCTGTTTCAGTGACCACACTTTTTAAGCTCATATACAGGACAAGAAAGAAGATTTATAAGGTGTGTAGCAACTAAGTCAAAACAGATCTACTTCAAGGATGTCAAAATAAGAGCCTCTACACTTGTTGACTGAAGCGAGTCACTTCAGTGGCCTTATCAAAAAACATGTGGATTCAGTGAACAAACGTTCGAGACACTGATTGTTCTTAAGAAACTACTATTTCTCAGGTTTCAATACGTCGAAGATTCATATATTGGCTTCCTGTTAGAAACACCAGAACTATGAAAACGAAGTTTTCATACTATAGTTAACCAATAATTATTTATCATTAACATCTACATTCGTATTTAACGATTCAGTTGTTCTTGAAATGATAGATCTATTGGCATACAATAAACCAATTTGACAATTTAGTTAGTATTTTTCTTATTCTATCATATTCTAACAGGTTCTGGACTTGACTTTTACATGAAATAAAACCAATGGAATTCGAGCTAATTACCTTAGTTTTTGTATTTACTATAAGTTTTTTAGTATCGTTTGCCTCATAGTCCATAAGGTTCTTAAATTTTGGAATAAGACTTTGCTTATTTACACACTTCTTTTTGTATTATTTAACTCCTGGCAATCATCTACTTAAATTGTGATCAATTTTCAGTACTGAAATCGTTCGACCAGTCATGCTGTTTTTATTTTTCTCACCACTCATATTAATCACCATGTTGCCATGCGATTTTTAATTATTACAAACTTAGTTACATAGTTTACTTTATCTAATTACGAACAATATTGGTATGAATGGTTTGCGGACATTATTGAATTTCATAGTTTACATCACTGACTGGCCTTAGTAAAGCAACCATTAAAAACCAGAAGTCCTGGGACATCTTTTTCTTCTGGGTATAGGATACGGAAGCGTGTATCCGTGCAACCCCACCGGAAGTCGAACCCGAAACCTCCAGATCCCTCGTTAGGTGCTTAACCTTCAGATCTCTGGGTTGACATTCAGTGGTTTACATTCATAATTTTAATCAATATGTGATATCGCGTAACCATCTTAGAATACTTACCTCGTATTCAACACAGTTGAACTACAGTTGTCATCTTTCACGAATTGACTGAAATCAGAAATGGAAACATTTGGTTGCTGACTATGGTCTAAAGGTTAAGCACGCACTCTAAAACTTGAAGGTCTTAGGTTTCATCCCTCGTGATGTCGTCAATGCATAGAACTATGTTCTTCACAAGGACGGAACAGCTGTCCGTTACTTGTTTTTAGTGGTCTTCCGCAGTTTAAACCAATCAAAACAACATTGTTTACTTTTGTCTTGTTATATTAATTGGTCAGCTTTTCATTTAGTGTTTGATGACTTGAACCGATGACTATTTGTACCGGATTCTACTTTGTTTATGTCTGATTGATTTATTCCACAAAAATATCGAACAGAATATTTCTTAGTTATTAGTGCTATTAGTGAGCTATGTTGTTTGCGTACGTTGCTTTTCCAAGTTTCCTTTTCATATCTCTCTGTATAATTAATTTTGCGATTTTACTTGTTAAGGCTGTTGCTCATCGCGCAAGTCTGCTTGAATCAGCATCATCTCAACAACAACGTTTATTGGAATTAGACTCTCGTCTTACTGTCGCACAAACTGAAGTTGATTCCCATAAAACAAGCATTAATGAAATGCGTAGTAAACGTGATGCTTATGAGCGTGATATTCGAGATATGACTGAACAAGTGGAAGCTGCAAAAGCTGAACTTACTCATTGGCAGAGAGAAAAAGAACAATTAAGCTTACGAATGGCTGCTGGAGTAGATATGAATCCTGTTATGGAACAGTATAAGACATTACAGTCAATGCGTGAAGTAAGCCTAGTTGCTCATTTGTTTAATTCTATATTATAAACTTCATAATTGTTGTACTACTTAATGGTTAAATAAGTTCAAATAAATCTGAAGAAGACATTGTGTATGTCTATTTTAATTGATTAGAATGTACCAATCTAAATTGATTATAAGTAAAATAATCAGTTCATGTGTTTGGAAAATGGTATGTGTTGCGTGAAGATAATCTAAACCCTAATCAATAATTTGATTGCTAACTTTTGCTAAAAAATACTATGATGTTTGATATCCGCATATGTTATGGTACAATATCCTTAATTATCCGATACTAACCTTCCACTTCATTCATATTTTTTTACTTGTGTATCTTCTAGTAGAACGAGATGTCAATACATTAGAATCCATGCACGCAAATAAAGGTATAAACGCTCTACAATACCTTATCTAGCAAATATGCTTTATAAAGAACAGGTTGTTAGAAGTGATCTAGTCAGTAACTTGTATTCTTAAACATGTTTCTAATTAAAATAGTTGTACAGATTTCAATCTTCTTTTTAAAAAACACTTCATTTACTCCCAGGTAGTTTACCTGCTTAATTTATGTATATATGTATGTAGTTATCAATTTCTCCTCCTTTTTTTTCTTTTTCTGTGGAAGAAATTTGTTGGGATACTTTGTGCTGAGAATTCCATATTGTATCAAAAAATATTATGTTGAATAAAGCCAATAATAATAATAATAATAATAATAATAATAATAATAATAATAATAATAGATAATTTCCCAGGTTTCATAAACAAATTAATGATTTATAAATTTTATCTTAAAGAAAAATATCAATTTTGTATGAATTCAGATTCTCTTTTAATTGCTTGCTTTTCAAACTGTTAAAATTAATAGTCACTTTCCATTAAGCGTGCTTCATTTGAACTTTGAACTAAGATAGTCTATAAATAGGTTGGTTTAGAAGTACTCTTAATGAATAAACTACTTCCTTTTCACATTAACCTTTAAACTTTAAATGGACTAAGATTTTATGCATATATTTTGTTGTTTATTGTTATTCTCACTAACTATAAGCATCTCTATTAGACAAGATTGTAAACCACTATTATAGCTTAATGATGAAACACTTAATTTTTAAACACTGGATTATAGTTTTGAATTCCGTCCTACCTAATTTGCTTCAAATAGCCATTGCATATATGGTATGGCCTAAAACTCGACGCATGATTTTACATTACAATAATCTAATGGTGATGCTTAAATTCGTCAGAGAATCTATTTACTTCGTTTATATTCCAAGGTTTAAGCATGAGATTATCGTCATTACATTACGGTACAAGATAATTAGACCCCTGCTAAACCACCTTACACCTAGATATATGATTCACGACCAACTATGAGGAACCAGATAACAGGCCAGATAGTAGTTCATTTAAATACTGGTATTCCAATCACGGAATAGAAACTCAAGTAAAATCAGATTAGATATTAATAATGGAAAATAATTTATATTATTAAATAACACTACAACGTTTATCAAGATGTCTATTTGTCTTTTCTCTTCGTCCACTCAATATATTACTTTCACTGACCATTAATCATCAGCTCAAAGAGAAATTTAAACTCTTTAATTGCTTTGTCATTTTGCGTTTCACCTTGCTAGAATCCTATACACCGACGGTTTTCGTGAATTCGGTTCGTCTGTTGGATAGTGGTGCTGACTGGTGTTGGGGACGGCTGGAAGAAAGTTAGGGGCGGCCAAACCAAAACGTGGCGTCAGTGCTTGGAGTCACCAACTTCTAATCTGAGCCATGTTGGTAGGTGCGGACCACGTGGTTGGGGTTCGCGTGACTATCGTAACCAATGGTTGGAGACTTTGTGTGACATGGCTCAGAATTGATCACAGTGGCGTCGGTGTATACACTCTCTGTCTTCTCTTAAACTAAGAGATTAGAATTGCTTTATATCTTTGTTTCTACGAACTAATTCTTTCTTTCTGTACTATATCCTTATATGAAATATTTCTTTCATATATTACTACCATTGAAGTAACAACTTCTATGAATTCGGTGTTGTGCTAATGAGTTATGGCAGCTTGGAGCGATGTATATATGTGCCTGGTCCTACGTTGTAGCTGACTGACTGACTGTTGGATAGTTAATTAACTGTCAGGAAGCACAAAAAACCACCTAAACACCCAGTGTTTTTATCCACGCTAGTGGTCGATGGTAGCTCTGGTTTTGCATTATCCTTATAGTTTTTACGATCTTCAGTAATCACTTGAATTGATCTATTTTCTGTAATCCTTACAAACAGTTCTCAAAATTTCATAAATTCCTCAAGTTTTTGAAAAAATTAGTCAGTTTGCGTATTCATTGGACGACTGATCTGATTTTGTTTAACAATCCAGTGTTGTTTGACCGATGAAGATATAATCCGTAAATTTTGTTCAGGTGACAAAGTACGTACTACGCGACTACTGTTTAGACCAGAAACTAATTATAAAAAAATTACCTTCGAATTTGCTAGTCTATTGCAAATATCTAGTTTTTTCTTCAGTACAATAAATTACACTTAATATGATAAACACTCATGGTTTACCTTAATTAGACAGTATAATTACTTTTCTACGCATCCTTTGCTTTTCGACCACTGCTTCGTTTTTCATCTTATCAGTGAAATATACTACAGAATATATGTCATATACAACTTTATTCGTATGCTAGATTTTTAGTAGTTAAAAGAACTACCTAACAGCTTAAATTATAGTACGTGAATACGCAGTGAATCTACCATCTAATTGTTAACAACTGTCTGCATAGATTGCCGAATTCTATAGTTCCATGCATAATTAGGGGAATTACTACTCGTTTAATATGTTTGTGAAACAAATGATTTTAACCTGGTCTCAGACTTGACGGTTTCACTTTTAGTCACTAGTTTACTAAGTTAAGTACTGAAGTTGACTTTGTTTTCAACCTATAGAAGTGTATAATCTTAATAGACTTATAGTAAATAATAGATCTGCTTTACATTGTTGATCTCTTTATTAATTATAATCAAACTGTACATCTATTGGATTAAAATATTACAAACCAGTAACAGTGTCAGTGATGTCAATCAAGTTTTATAAACGAAATACTTCCTAGTGATACGTGTGTGTTTCGCGGTATGTTTGTATACAACGTATAAATGTTTAATTTCAATTAGAGAGATTAATTCATGGTCGAATCTCTATACCATGTAAATCACACGTTAATTACTTAAATAACCAATCGGCTAACTTAAATATTGGTGAATTGTTCATGGACTTGGTCCTGGATTCACTGACACAATTGTTGCATATGAATATTATTAAAATTAATGATTTCGTAGAACAACATTCAATATGACTATATTAGATCCAACTATGTTTCATATGTATATGAATATGTTCGTCGTTACTAATTGTAAGTAGTCCATTAGTTTTAATCAATAAATTGTATATCTTGGTTTCTAAATTACAATACATTTTCATTTCATAGTATGATTATTTATCATTCTTTAACATTTGTGATCAGGCACGTATTAAAACGATTGAGCAATTAAGAAACAAGTTGAATGAATTAGATCAAAATATGACCCAGCAAGGTCATGAACTGGCTACTAGACGTAATAAGATCGACGATTCACAAGATCGCGTCACACGGACAATGCTTGATTTAGTTGATCTACGACATTCTGTTGAACAAAAAATGCAAGCATATAAATTGAAAAGAAAATCTACCGATTTATCCATGTAAGTTTTGATTTTCTTTTTGTTGTTGTTGTTGAAATAATATTCGTTCATATGGGAAGCACCAATGTTTAGTCAGATACGTAAGCCTTTTAACCATATACCGATTTGTTTGAAATAACCATATGCATTACATTTAGTGTTTTCATGAGTATAGTTAGAGAGCTGATATCGTCCAATCACTATTTATAAATAAACGGGTATTTTTATATGATGAACCCTGGGATGAAATTTTATCAACAATAATTAATGTCAATAAACTAATGCGCAACACTAACTGTAAGAGAGGGTTAAAATGAGTACCAATCAACGGAAGCTTTTAATCAATGTGAATACTGAATACAGACTAATGTATAGTGTTGCATAACGTCACATTTTGTTTACAGGTTTCTCTTGGTAACACTGAGTTATGGTCCGGAGATACGCAAGTTAACTGAAGTTAAATATGTGACCCAATCGATGGCAACTTTTCGGTATGAAGTAAGGTATTGAATTCAATCTCCGGAGAGGGATGTAAATGTACACTGAAGGAGTTCCATACTAATACAAAATAGTTGTCCAATGCTCCAAAATTTTCTGTTGTTGTCTAGCTAAAGTCAGTGTGCAAAATAAAATCGTAGAGGCTTTGCAAACATAATTATCAGTAGTTGTTTTACTTACATACTCTTCACCTTTTAATGTTTCTTGGCTAAAATTAAAATCGCATTTTTTTCCATCAAAATAACAGAAATTTCGGGATGGAAATCATCCTTCATATAACTTCACGGTAATTAAGTAAGAAAAAAAGTAACTAGACGTTTCTAGCTTCATAATATCTTTGAGATATTTCTGAATTATGTATTCGAGTGACTTAAGATATGCCTTTGGTTATGTATATTAATTTCCCGGGAAGCATGTTAATCGGTTAGGTTAAATAGCCAATATTAATGATAAAAGAATATTTAGCTTTCAATTTTCAACTATTTTACAAACATGTCTGGTAAACTTCCTGTTTTGTTGGTTGCAGAAATTAGTGTTTGCATTCATTATAGAAATATAAAATTTAATCATTCATCCTCCAAGGTTTATATGCCTTTAAAACCATTTGCAGATATTTATTTAAGTCCTTATGTTGTTTTGATTTTTTTTGTAAATATATTATTGACTTCAACAGAGATTGTAAAGCCTAACAAACTTGATTCATATTGAATGTGTTTTCTGAAATTTTCATCACTTAACTCCTTAGTTAAAGTTGAGGGGGTGGCGTTAAATTTTCAGCCACACCAAGTTGTAGCTTCAAATTCTACCCTACCTACTTCGGTTTGGGCAACCGGGTAGTATCATTAGCGCTCACAATTGGGTTCATACCAAAGTGCCTAGTAAATTAATTGATTTTTTTTATTCAGCTGCATTTATGACATTAGTTGTGTAAGAAAATACTCACTGATATGAATATATACATTCTTTCGTATTCAATAAAATAATCCCATACATCATCTATATTTTTCATTCCTCTTTTTCTTCTGAAGATCCACTTCAACTACCATTGGAAGTACACAAAAAGAGTTATATGAAGCAATGTTTGACTTCACTGCTAGACATCCGGATGAATTATCATTTACGACTGGAACGTTGATTGATGTAAGCTATCTTATTACTAAATTTTATAATAATAACTCATTAATTCATTATCAAAATTTACAAATGGAGTGTTTTTAAAAGAAATTACACTGTTTAAACTATTGCAGAATTAAGTTTATGGAGCTATTGGCAGTAAAGTAGGACTACTCGTAGTTGTTTTTTAAAAATATTGGGAGGTGATTTATATCGTGTATAAGGCCAATCGATTCCACCTTACCTCTTATCTGTTTCGTTTATTTATTGTAATTATCATTAGTTTTTTTCCAAAAACATTTACATATCGTGAGATTATAGACAATAAGTAATAATATAATTTTTCCACGACTGCTTGTTTAGAAAGAATTAGTCGGTCAGATAAATTAAGGTATTCAGGATAATATTGATGATTTTCTCAAGAACATTCCATGAACAATATGCCTAAAACTACTGATATAAACTTTGTTCTTAAAATATTGTAAATGTCACTAATTTCTTGTCGAGTACCAATGAGATTTCTTCATTGATGATATTCATTAAAAATATTAGACTCATCAAGTATTATTCTGTTTTATATTTGATTCCAGTAATACTGTTAGTATTATATTTCACAAGTTTGTAACATTATTTATTATTAGTTCAAATACTCGAATTTCAACGGTGAGGATCATATTTTCAAAATCGACTTTATCTGCTCAATGTTTTAAGAATATTATTATTATTATTATTATTATTATTATTATTATTATTATTATTATTATTATTATCTTTATACATGTCATTCAAAGTTGACTACATAGGAATGTACTATTTTGTATTTTTTGTAAAAAAAACCCGTCGAATTATTCACTTAAAATATGCACATATTTATTTACTTAACGTAATAATAAAATAAACTTAATCAGGAATCATGTGGTGTAATACATTTCAAAAACTCTAATTACAAATTAATGATCGTATGCATCATATCCCAATTTATAAATGTGTGTTAAAAACATGAGGAGTAATACTGGTAATAAGATATAATTAAAATTTATTAAACATATAGCTGAAATATTCGTGAAAATAAACAAACTTCAATTATCTCCAATAGGAGTAGACTGTTTACTGCGTTCTATTGATTTATATAAATGTCATTATAATTAAATGGATATACTTTATTCATTTAACTAATGTATGTAGTTACGCAAATAGTTAGATTAGATAAAATTCAAATGGTATGTAAATAAACTTAACGGTATCTCATATCACATAATAACCTTTGTTCTTTTCTCAATTAGGTTTTCGTAAATGCTCCGACTAATGTTGGCCCAGGTTGGTTATATGGTCAAATTAATGATAAAGTTGGCTTATTCCCTGAAACGTATGTACGAAAAAAGTCGATGGGAAAATTGATCCATTTGATCCTTTTGGTGTTCATAAAATAACGAATACTTCTGTATCATCGGTAATGGCAACAACAATATCTACTACAATTAATACACCTAATACAATTAGTGTAATAAATACTATTAACAGGTAAAATTTGACTAAATCAGTGCTTTTTTTATTTTTTTTTTAAAATCATCTGTTTTCAACGATATGTTTGTAATAGCAAATGCTGTTGTATAGTATTCTTAATTTGTTATAACTAGTTAAGAATTCAAACAAAGAAATACGTATAATTATTTGTTAAATATGTTTTTTAGTATATATTGTAGTTACTAATGCTTCAAATTACTTTCTTAGATATTCCCTTTTTGAAAATTTAACTCTCAAGCAGTAGAAACTATTAGATTTATGATTAAATAACGGTATGTTGATTATTTATTAAATGCCTACAAGAAACTGGGAATCTTTATTTTATGCTTCCAATAATTCATCGATAGAATCTTTCTCACGACCATAATTCAAATCATTGAGCTTTTTAGTCAACTTACCTCGCTAACCTTTTCCATAAAAAAGCAGACTGTAAAAATGAATTCTTAGTCTCTAATTTCTATACAATGGTATCTATAAAAAATAAATGAATAATAATCAGTCATTCAATGTATTTCCATTTTCCGGAATACAGTATTTATTCTCATGTATTTTGTAATCTTTCAGCAAGAAAATACCAAGACATAGAAGCGGTTTATAAAAGTATTATGTATCATCTGCTTATCATCAGACAGTCTTTGCCAAATTTCTAAATAGGAATAACACAGTGTTTACCACGTCAATATGATACTTTATAAAATGAATATTTCAGGAGTTTCAACTAATATTCGATCCTGCTGGGTCAATTCCATTTGATAGTGTATAGATGATCTAATTAGTCTACTCATTATTAGTATGTTGAACTACGTGCTACTGAACTTACACCAAACAGTACATTTTTGTGTGCTGTGTATTATTGATATGTTAACTGAATGGAAATTTTTTGGGAGAGGACAGGATTTTCAATCAGTCTTTGCTTTTTGCCGAATTAACTCTCACCCTAATGAGTATATAGTTGCAAACATGCATATTATTATTATTATTACCACTATTATTTATGGTAATAATAGATTTTATCATAAGTTCAATGATATTTTTGTTTAAGAATTATTACTAAACGTTATTGATTTTCTTGACAGTAGGGTAGATTAGTTAAATTAGAAGCGCTGGCTCTTTAGAGATTAAGGCGTTCGACATTCACCATCATTAAGTCTCAGGTTTAAACCTTGTGCCACCTAATGCGGCTCAGGCAACTCAGTGGTATCATTCACCCTCACAATCCGACTATCACTCAAAACTAATTAACAATGATTGGTACCTAATAAATACGTTGTACATATAATACAATGAAATTTGTAATAGACAATATGTTATTTTAGATGATAATGTTCCAAGTAAATAAAAACTTTCACTCGGAAAATTTTTAAGAAAAAATTTTGTTTTTCATTCTATGTTCGTATATTTTGAAAAAAATTCGGATATTGGTATAATAAGCAAGCTGTTTTTACTGTCCGATGTATAGTTAAACAATTTATGCCTAACCAAATGTTCATCACATTGACCATTGACCAAACAATTGATAGTCTAGTATTGTGATTAAATTTAATTAAACCCCACAGAAAGTAAGATTTGTGTAATACTACTGATATATATTTAATGAAACAAAACTTAATATTTCGTAAGCATCGTTTTTGCAAACGATGTGGAAATCTATTGTAAATGATTCGAATTATTATTTTTATTACTATTATTATTATTATTATTATTATTATTCAACACTTAAAGCACATATGATGATATTGCTCATTTTAGTCTTTATCTTTCTAATACTATTAATTTTAAATCTATGATTTTTAACAGTTTGACTGAACCGGCAATCGATAATCTAGTGGGAAATGAAACAACACCAACAACAAAACTCAATGATACTACATTTTCCAACAATGATTTTTATGGTGAAGTACAACAAAATTGGAATGTATCAATGTCTACAATAACTTTACCTGAAAATATACCAACAGATCAATTTTTAACATTGACGGTCGACGATCGTGTGAAAATTATCGAAGAAAATGACAATAATAAAGAATGGTATTTTGGTGAAATTACTGATAAATCTGATATTGTGAAAAAGGATGGTTTCCAGCTTGTTGTTTAAAACCATTCACTAAGTCCAATACGTCTAATATAAAAAATGGGTCAGTAATTGTTGATATATAAAAGTATTGAATGAATACATGAATTTACGCATAAATGTTTATGAGCATCATTAAGTTGCATAAACCTTTATCAACGGAGATAATTTACACCGCAAACTGGTTGTCACTAGACAACTATTCGAAACTGAGAAGCATCAAACTGCTTGTTGATTTTAGCACGAGACTTCACCATAGTTCGTTCATAACCGTGTCAGGAATTGGATCTACATTCTTCAGGTTTAGCAACTCAGATTTTTAAACCACCTAATTGCCGTAAAAGAGTCCACGTTTCCAACTCTCGTTTGTGTTTTAAACAATCAAAATTTATATTCATCCGTTATTCGGTTTTGTTGGAGGGTAGTTTTAAAGGTATTGGTTTCTTAGCATTAGGTCGTAACGCGAGTTTTAATTGTTTTCTTAATTCTTTGAGATTTTGTTATTGAAAAGGATGATCATGCCGATTAGATCTTCATCTGTTTTACCTATGAATCTAACAATATACTTTTGATAGTGTGTCTCACTTATCTTTTGAAGGGCTGTTGATCTTTAGTACATTTTGATGTAAATTACACATCTGACGTGTTGAATAACTTGCAGTTCATACTGTTCTGTTAAACGGTTTACTTGAACTTTCATGTAACGTCTGTAGATACTCTTTTTGCGCAGAAAAACAAATAGTTCTTAATGTCATTTGTCGATGCATTGGATGTTTAAAAGTTGCTCAAATATTTGGCGTTTTATTCATAGAGGTCGTCTGAATTAAATGGTTAAAGAAAATCGAGTTGTCCAGTCCGTTATGGATTTTAATAGCTTCATAATAGATGTTGCTTTCTAGTGATTCAGTCATCAGCAACATAGCGAACCTGGCACAAATTTACATTGGTCCAAGTAACCACATCTCATTAACACATCTAAATGAAATGAACAAAATAAATATCAAGGTTGGGAGAGTATTATTAATAGTATCCTGTGATAGTAAAAGATCAAAAATATCAAATATACGGTTCGAGTCTACTGAAAGTATGTTTAGAATAAAAAAGTATGCAATAGTGCTTAGTGAAAAAAATGTCAACAAATTATTCAATATTTCTGTTTTCATACTTATTTAAAACATTCAACTTATTAGATAACTCCATATAATAATCTTTTTCCCTGATCGATTAATGTAGACTAAATATCTCTTCATCATCAAATAGCTTATCAAAACAACCAGACATTCTATTTTCATGTATTGCATTATACCCGTATGAGTCGAACGTATCTGGCGATTTGAATCTTTCTGTTGGTGATTTGATTCGAGTTTGTGTTATAAAGGATGATTGGTGGGAAGGTATTTGTGAACGAACTAAACTCAAAGGTTTATTCCCAGCTAATTATGTTCGTAAACTAAGCAGTGAGGCAAGTGATGCGTACACCTATTTGTTTTTTTTTAGCATAACTTTTTTGTTTATTTATATCGTTTATTCTCTTTTTTTCTTCAAAATTGGGACTGTTCTTTTTCCTGTGTTTACTTGTATCTTAATTCACCTTATTGTTTAATAACAATTGCTGCAAATATATCAGTTATACATTGCTGATGCAAAGTTTGACAACGATATAAGTTGAGATATATTACATCAAAGCACAAGATGATCAGCATGATGAGGAAGTATAGGCTAGGTGGTTAAGTATACAATTTTAAATCAAGCCATGGCATAATAATAGAAATTCATTTTATTTTGTGATTTCCCCTTAGCTCTTTATAACTGTATTCGTAGATTTCGTAACAATAATAAAGGTGATTTTAATCAAAACTGTGAATTCACCCCAAAGCAATGATATTTTGATAACTGTCTCTATCTGAACACATAATTCTGGTTTTATTTTTTAAATTGTTACTTGTTCAGAGAGACGTGAAGAAACTGCATTACTTTGTCTCTTGATAATATTGAAGGATTGGCAAAAGTCAATAGTATGACTGGTATCAGCTAAGTACTGAGATATCATATCTTTTTAGTCTAAAATTCTTTAAAATGGGCCTAGAAATGTGAATGTTTGCTATTCTTTCTGTCCTTATTAAGTATTCACTTTGGCACTTACATGATCATTGATAACTGCAATTGAAGGAGGTATTGAGAAAAGACAATCCTGTCTATTTTCATCGTAAGAATCAATCATTTTCACAATTTTTAAATTATACCCACGGGGTGTGAATGAATGGTAGTTCAGTTAACTTCCGAAACACAGTGCTAAACTTATTAAATTGTTTTAAGTAATATACACTTATTTTTTATCCAAATTACAATTCAAGATTTATTAATCTTACAGACTAAGATTTGTGATTTATCTAGATTTAATATCTTAAACAATAATTTAAGTGGTCAGATTCTCAAGCAATATACCCATTAGTAGTTACTCTCCAGTTCAAAAACACAAACAAAAATTAATATTTAGAACATAATGCATTCCGTGGTGTGTGCTACTTACGTCGACAAATATGAGTAGTATGTAACACCAATGTGAAGTGGAATGCCTGGCACCAAGTAAAAGAGAACGGGAACAGATAGTGATTTCTATGGAAATGAAGAAACAACAAAGTCTGAAACAATCAATTGACATTTTGCAAATGAAGTGTTGAACGTATGGTATTTATATTTTACCACATACCTCCATAATTTTGTACTCACGTTTACTTGATTGTCCCCAATTGTATTCTTGTTCACTACAATCCTATCCTCTTTTTTCTCTACACAACTATTTATATTCTATCTCAATTAATTTGCAAATAATTTTCGTAATGTATTTTTCTTTTTCATTAAATAGGAAACACGGTTGATGGAAGAAAAGTTAGATATAAGCGGATCGACTATTAATCAAATGGAACATAATAACACAATTGTAAGTTAACGATGCATTATATAAAATTTCTTTTCATTCCATTTGTAAGCGTAAAACACAACTACTGTGAGGAAGCGAATTTTTTCTAGATTCAGGAATGATGGATACTATTATATCTGGAGCTTATATTCTTGCTATACCACTTACTACTTGAGCACTCGAATATTAGAATCCTCCAAGTCGCAAGTTAGAAAAGAGAAGACAAGTGAGAGGGGATTTTATTCCAATCAGTGTCAAATATCGTACAGTTAAAACGAAATCATCATTACAGTCGTCCAGTCTGCATACAGTGGTTTTTAACATTTACCCGATAGGGAAGTTACACGTTGAGATTCTGAAATGTCCCCCCAAAAGATGATTGGATGGAATGTCTTCGGTTCTTTTTGAGCTTCTTAGAGCCTTCTTGAGTTCACCTGGGGGCTGTCTTCAGGGATACATTATTGTATGCATAAATTCGAAGATAAAGATATCCATTTTCTTTCTTGTCTTATGAAAGCGTTCACAGGTTATTGTGACCTTTTTAATTATGTTGAGATTATGGGTCATCTTAATCAACTAGGTTATTGACAACGTTACCTTTTAGATAAGATCACTAAGAATAACTAACTTCGTATGCTGCTACAAAACTTCCCTATCTATAGTGAACTACTTGTTTGTTAAAGAGTGCATCGATAATGTATCTTGACGAGTTGCATTTCAAGTCAGATTTTTATATAAGGTTTTTAGACTGTTTCTTTTGGAAAACAGAGAAACAGATTGTTTACTTCTTAGTAAATTTTATTGACAACTATAAATTAATTACATTCGGTGTTTGTGAATCGCTACACAGTTTAGTTTTTTTGTGTTATACTTTTCAATGTACTTTACTGTTATATCTTATAATAGAATCCTCCATCTCTCTCAAAGATAATTCCTATATCATCGCCGAAATTGATGGAAGCGAATTCTAATAATTGTATGGCCAATTTACTTTCTTCATCAAATACATCTTCGACTTCATCATCTGGTGTTATTGTATGCACTCAACCGGAGTTCGCTCGAGTAATTGCACCATACAAAGCTACTTCAGCTGGTCAACTAACTCTTCAACCTGGTCAAGTTGTGCAACTTCGTAAAAGATCACCTAAAGGTTGGTGGGAAGGAGAGTTGCAGGTAATAAGCAGACTGTCGAATAGATTTGTTAAGTAGACGTTTCTTGTATTCTGCCATATATATTGCTATTTTTAATTGCTAGGAATTTATAATTTAGGATGTCAAGTTTTATTTCAAGCCATTTGACTGATATAATAATAATATTCCTCATGCGTCACATTTAGCACAAATTTTTTGAAAATCGAGCGAAAATATAATATCATTTTTGCCATTTCACTGATTTATAATTCATCAAACCTTTAAGAAGAGTGATTGACATACTCTTATTGTTACATCAGGAACTAGTGCAGTAACATTCCATATTCGTAAATGACTCTCTAGGTAAATAGTCAATCTCTAAAATTGTCAGACAAAAGTTATCATCTGTAGAAGCATATTTATGTCAACCTGCTATAAATAAAAATTAGATTATAAATCCAATATTTAGCTAATGCATAACGTTGTACCATGGATTATTAGTTTCCCTTAAAAGTGTAACACATCTGAAGTAGTGAAAATACAAGTGATTGGTTTATTAAAAGTTGTTAATTTTCACCTTTTGAGTAATAAATACACCAATTGTAAACAGATAACGTTTTATGTGTTTCTTTCGATCATTAGGTTCTCTAATAATATTTTAAACTGTAGTATTATACATATTGAACCATAGAAAATTCATGTTTCTCTACATTACACTGATTGTATTCATAAACCTAGTTCCACAACTTAATGTTCGTCGTTTACCATAACTCTCTTCCATGATCAAAGTAAGCAAGCTGCATGTGGTTGAATTACATCAACAAATGTCTGACATTCTCATTAAGCTTGTCTGCTACCAAACGTAGTAACTTAACTAGCCATCGTTTAATTAGTATGATGAATTTGATTTTCACTTCAAATAACTTGAATTTTTGTTTTGTTTATTGCTGAATTATTTTATATTCCCTTTGGATGTACTTCTACACATAATCTTGTCTTCAACAGTCTTTTTTTACCATCTATCTCCAATTAATAGTCATTGATAAAGCTATTTTATTTTAATTTGGTTGCATAAATGTTTTTAAAAGTTGCGAATATTGACTTCACACTGTTCAGTGGTTGAAAGTAGTCCACATGAAACCCTGAACCTAGATTTTGTGCTAAAGCAGTAAAATACATTTATCAATAACTTAACGGTAACTATTAGTTAAGTCGCTTTGGCATATCTCTAAATTCGATAATATGATTGTTTTTTACTATTTTATAAAATATACAATAACCGCTTCGTAAATTGGACTAAGCTCATCAAGGTTAGTAATTCCTCCATAAATAATCGTCTAGAAAACATAGTTCATTGATTTGCTTGTAGCACGGTTACCTTCAAATACAATTAATCTGTCATTACACTTACTTGTCTGTGAATAAATGAAAGATTTTCCAAATAAATGTAATTTAAAATTCGTCTATTTACTGTAAATTTATAACCTTTATTTCCTCTATCGACACATAAGTATAGTTGGTGGTTAATTGGCTCTTGTAAGCTGACTAATCACCGTACATTATAGGAATAATATTAAAGAGTTTTGTTAATACAATCTGAAAATTGATAATTTAAAATATATATGTTACTGTGCGAATTAATAAATTTAAATTCGAGTGATGTTTTATGTATTTTGAATTCTATTCGTCATAATGATTGTAAATAATTATGAACAGAATCGTTCTGGAATCTTATTGCTAAGTGCTGAGTGTTATCGCAGCTCCAATTGATGTCATGAAAATTACCAAGAAAGATAATATCATCAAAGCAATAATTTACCTAAAAAAGCCAGTGCTCAAGTTAAAATCGAATAAATTTTAATAGATAAAACAACTAACCAAGTCGATTGACAAAATCAATGCATTTTAAGACATCAAAGCTTTTAGTCATAACTGTTGATATTGAATGATTTTCATTGGTGTAAAGGTAATAAACTTTTCCTGGGTTCTATCTATCTGTCTAGTTCGCGGGTGTAGAAGTTTTATACTGGGATAAAGCACTTATCCAATGCTATATAAGATTCAATAATTCTCTAACAACGGTGTCATTCCGTGACTCTTTATTTATAAAATTCCCAGCCAAATGTGTATCACTACGAGTTACATGCAGTTAAGAAATGCGTTGTCAAAGGTGAAATTAAAGGACCACAGTGTAACCAGTGGGATCCACCCTCTGTCTTTCTGTAACACTAAGGAATGACCTGAAATCTATCCACTGTTTCATAATTTAGTTTAGAATTGTTCACACTAACTATTTTTATGCATCCAACTTTTCTTAGATAAAATAGTGTTTAAATACTGTTCGATTCGTTTTTCAAAAAACGGGTAACGTCATCGTAATATATAAATAATAATCATATTTTACTGTTATCTACATTTTTCCAAACGAAATTACTTTTGGTAAATCACAAATAAGTAATGGTTGTACAAGTAATGCTTTAATTCACCTTCGATTATTTTAAAATCTTCTGATCAGAAAGATTTTCTGAACATTTCGTACAAATTCATATTATTGGTTTACAAGTTGTTATTATTTCTGTCCATGTTTTACATTATATCTTCATAGCAGTAATCTACTTGTAAGTGACATGAAAGAAAAATTATAAACCAACTTGTATGTGGTTATCGTATTGCTTCATTGAACTAGTTTGAACACATCATTAAGCTCTGTTTTATTTAATAGACAACACTTTTCCATGCTTTTCCTTTATCAAATAAATTGGCTTAAAATCAGATTTGATATAATTCTATTATTATGATGCTTTTAGTTTCAATTCATTCAGTGTTATAATTTGTAAGTTACTTCGACTGTATATGTTGTAGAGTTCATGTCGACTGATAAATTGTACTAAAAAATCCTCTGTTATTTGGAATTCAGTCCTGGTATGTAATTGTATATTCCATATATTTCATATCCCTTAATATTTCCGTTAATTTAAATATGCCAATTTAGACAAATAGGCTGATACTAAATGTGAAAGACCAAATAGTAATTTCGATGCAATTTGCTCAGGATGGCCATGTTTTAATAGAGACTGAGCATTTGCAGTCCGTAACTTGAACGGTGAAAAAATGCAAGCGATTATAAATGATGAGCTGATAGTTTCCATCTTAGTGTTTAAGTTTTCTCATTCTCACTCATTAAGTCTCATGTACGAGCCCTTCTCCGGCAACCGGACAGTATCCATTATCCTCACACTTAGAGTATGCTTCACACTCAAATACCTGATCGATGAGTCTAATTATTTTGTTATTTCTACAAAGGATTGCGCTTCTCTGTAGATAACAAAAACGTTTTCACTAGTCCATGTGATTAGTAATTAAACATCCCTTTTATTAATAACAGTATGCTTTTAACACAATATGAACAATTCAGCTAACTTTTTCATTTATTTACTGTTCTTTTTTCTGTTTTTCTCTCCTTTCTATATGTTAAATATCTAAATTACCTTGTTTCGCATGTATAATTATTTGTTTTGTTGGCTTATTTCATAATTTATATTTCCATACTATGTTGCCTATTCTTTTCTTCAATCAACATGATTATTCTTGTTACGGATAATTGGCATCAAGGTGCTCTCTGGATCAAATTTAAACTTGATTGATAATGAAGATTAATTGCTTATTGATTAATTGGCTGTTATCAAATTTATCATGAATTGTTATCTGCGATCTATTGGCTGCTTCTCTTGATAAATTCTATGTCTTTTTTCATCCTTGTCATTTCCCTTTTTTGATTTCAGTTATTTCAATTATTTAGTCAAGTAACTATTTCCTTACTGGTATTTATGAACAGGAACAAGTTGAAGATATGAGAAAATTGAGCATGTCGAGATAAATTTGTCTTATATGATTTCGTTTTATTGCGTCTGTATGTGTGCGTGTTAATTTCTCAACACTTGGTCTGAACCATTTTTTTTCTTAGATTGCATTTTTATGCTAATCTTTCGGTTTTTCTCCAAATCACATTCTTATTTTGCATCATTCACAGAAAGCATAGAAACTGCTTGTACGGTGGTAACATGTTTTTTGATTAAAATTAACTGAATTGTTTAATCTTCGTTAGCTACACATATATGTCCGAATTAGTCTACATTTTTATTGTTGTTCCATCATCATCATTGTATAATCACTATATGTAACTTATTGATTTAGGCATTCTACTATTGTTCATAAGTGCTCACATGTTATTACTTGCTTTGATCATTTCATTTGGTTTTACGTGACTCATCACAGTACTCAAACGTGTACGTAATTCCTGCGTTGGATTCGTCGATTGATTACTTTTGGATTTTCTTCCATGTCAAACACCGTTCACTGTTAAAAGCGCTAATAAATATTCCGTTCATGGCGTTGTAGTTTAATAATTCAAACATCAGTCTTTCAACTGGTTAGTTTGAAGTTTGAACTTCATGCAGTAAATCTGAGCTATGCTGTCAAGCCAATGGTGAACGTTCGAATATATTCCAAGTCGATCATTTTATTGTTTAACCGGCATTGAAAAGATGTGAATTTAATAGTCGTTCACATCAAGATAAATTTAAGGCGAACGCGATCATGTACCTAAAAATGTTTGAATGTTAGGGAATACGCTCATATATCAATGTCGGAACGAGATGGAGCTAAATGTATGCCTAGAAACGTTAGATACATTAGTTGTTAACGTTAAGATGTTAGGGTTAGAGAGCCACAGATAAATTTATGAAGTGAGTTATGTAAAACTAACATATACCCTGAAATCTTTTCATTCCTAACAAGATATCATTCATGTATTTTTGCTGTTGTTTCACCGGCAAAAGCTATTTAACCTCTGAAGCTCGGCCCGGAGGTATAACTGAATTTCATTCTTCATTGCATTTACTTTGATAGCTGTAAACGTCTCGCATCTAACTGTCTTCTGGATATTGACCTTCAATTTCTTTTGCCAGCTTCTGCAGATCATACTCGTAAAACATACAGTTCCTCTTCTCAGTGTGTGGTGGTTTCAAAAAAATCTCACTAGCCTCACATGAGTATGTTTTAAATTGACTGGTTAAAGAAATGGTTATACAAACTAATACCTACTACGTATGCTCACATTATACCCCTTTCTGATACAATTGTTCCCTGTTACAAATAATGATGCATTTCTTTTTTTTTACAGTTGTAAATCTGTTATCTTTATTTCACTCTTTTCTAATCACTACTTTAGTTTATCGCTCTTATTCCAACCAGTCCCCTTCCTAAATACATATTAAGAATGATTTTAAGAACGAAGTATCTTGCTTGCCAAATCTTCAACAGTTCTCCATAATGATGTATTAAGATCGGTTATACAGTAAGTTTTGATGTTACGGTTTGATTAAATCCAATACAATAACCACATACAAGTTAGTTTACTTTTAATATACATAGTTTAAAGTAGATCTGTCTGATGAATTTCCATCTCATCATAAAATATTATACTTTAAACTGTTTGTAAATTAAAAATCATTCATTTAGAAACTAGTCGTAAGTTCTATAAAAGTTCAAATGCCAGTTTGTCTAGGAATTAGCTGATCATTTATGATAATTATTTAAATATATAACGTTTCAACTTATTTCCAAACATCATGTTTAAATCTTTTCAATTTTTCATTGATACATATTTGAAATAAAAACTTTCTTTAAATGTCTTAAAAGTAAATGTTATTTATAATATGTGGTTTCCGAGAGAAAAAAAAAAGTAATTTACCAGTACTTAAACTTTTATAAAACAAATCATAATCTTACATTCATCAGTTTCATAAAGATTTATGCATAAATAATTCATCTCATGTGAATCTTTTCAACAAAAAATGTTTTCAGATTGTTAAATAAGCGCACATTTTTTGTACATTCCATATTCTATTTTATCTTTACAGTTACAACAATTTAACTGGGTTGTACCAAATATTGGGTATGTCCTTTGAAATCTAGTTATTCTCATGAAAATAAATGAAACATCACAAAATTAATAAATAACCGTTTCTATTAGATGATTTAGATATGTGTAGGGTAATCTTGTGGCAACTCGAACTGATGTACGTACGTACGAAGTTCTACGTTGTTACTGACTGACTGACTGACTTGTGTTTGGAGTATTAAATAAATATCATTTACTGTTCTAAATCATTACATAATGTGTCAAATAGACAGTCTTTTCCCCTTTTATATCTTAAGTAATTATCATAGGATTTCATCTAACAACTTAACGTGATGTGCATTAATATTTGGCTTTTGATTGGACTGAAACATTTATTCAATTGGTCAACTTGCCTCTTTCTACTGCTACTCCTTACCTATGAATAGTGATTTTATACCATAAAGCTGGGTTTTTTTATCATCTTAGCTTAATTTAAGCAAATAATTTGCATTCGTTTCAAAATGTCATTGATATTTTTAATGTACTTATGAGTTCACTTTATATGCATATACAGTAATCATTTTATGTATTATTTTCTAATTGATAAATTGCCTATTTCTTTTTTAACTATGGTTACGTGTATATATAATTTCAGTATTAGCTTTCTTATACGGAGAGTCCTATGTTCGTTTCTATTACAATCTTTGTCATTTTGTTTATCTCTACTTTTTATATAGCAAAGAGGTCATATTCGTCAAATTGGTTGGTTTCCGGCAGATTTCGTTCGACTTATTACACCACTGACAGTGAATGGATCGTCTAATTCATCTGGTAAGCGTTATTTTGTTATTATTTTTTTTTGCTTTCTCCTTAGAACTGCTTACCGTTTAATCTTATTTCGGTGAAGCTTCATTGCCAAGGTGTAGTAGTATCTCTGTTATAATTACAGTAGCTGAATGAGGCATTAAGTGATCATTTTGTATCATAACAACTTTGAACATTACAGTCCAGCGTAGATTCGCGAATTCATTTCAACTTACTGGGTGTCATTTTGAAGATGTTATGACCAAGAGTTGTAGGATGTTCTCAGATATTAATTAGAATCGTGTTTCCCTCTATATGTTCATAATATTATGTCTTCAGATGATGCCTATTTAAGTAACCTTTATGTGACGTCTGTTTTTCGATCTAGTTATATCATTCTAAAGATACTTTTCATCACTATTTTAGTAACTTTCCTAATAATCAATATTTATGTTATACAACTCGATAACTGAGTTTACATCCTCTTTTCAATAATTTTTTTATGTGAGGAGATAGATAACAACCCTTAAAATTTAATTGAACCGGCTTGAATTCCAATTGATTCACTCATTTTATGGAAACAATCTAAGTATAAATCAACTTAAAATAGAATGATGATTTATCAAGAATTCATTGTTTAATATGAAATGGATAAGTGTATTTGTGTATACTAATAGACATATGCATTCAATAAATCCAACAATTATCTCATTAACAAAACTGCTTATTAAATTCAATTACACGTATTTTCGAAAGATAATCAGCACATGCAATATAGAATTATGTAAGCCTAAAGACTTTTGATTATAAATGTTTTCGAAGTATTGGTCGCGTATTGTGTATCGACGGAGTTAATTTAAATAAAGCTCGGAGCAGTCAAATGGAAGGGATGACATTAGTTGATGAAGTCCCTGACTGTTGAAACTGAACGGCGTAGGTGAATGGAGACTACCTGTCTAGGTTCCGCTCTATAACTGCGATGAGTGGTTCGACAGGTTCGGTGAATACTCAAAAACGTCCACAGTCGGGGAGATTTATCGTGATTCCCATTATTGCTTTATACATGTCTTTCCACCCGTTCTTTTAGGACCATTTTCTTAAATCTCCATTCTTCCTTGACATAATTGCGGGTATATTATTTCGATTTCTCTACAATTCTTTTTTATTTAAATTCGTTTTATTGTTGTAATGTAGTTTTGCCAATTGCCGCTTGTGATTCTCTCTTTAATGATCTATCACCTGTAATTATTATTTTGTTTTAATTTATTTCCTCAAAGATCAAAAAACCTTTATCCAAACTAATAAGTACTACTAATAATCAAATTGAAAATACTCCAACTAGTTTAAAGGCATTAGCATCAAAAGCGATTACTACATCAAATTCTGTTAATGATAATTCTGTACAAAGTCAGCAAGCACAATCAAATCGTGTGGAAATGATGCAAACTATTTTTAGTTATAAAGCTGTTCATGCAGATGAGTTAACATTTGAAGAAGGTGCTATTATCACAGTACTCGGTCGAGATGAACCGGAATGGTGGCGTGGTCGACTTCAAAATTCCGGAGCAGAAGGACTTTTCCCTGTTAATTATGTACGTCCATACAATCCTCCCTCACAGACTGAAAAATCTTCAAATTCCGTGAATCAACGTCCTGTTGTTCCTGCACAAAGTAAGCTAGTATCTTTTATGATGTGTGTTTCAGATGGATATTTTTCACAATACAATTGCTTTATATTTCGCTTGTTCTTTTTTTCTTGGTCCTGTTAAGCAACTATGCTGCTTAAACTTAGTGTGAAAATTATCATTCTAGCATACGTTTATATTCCTAACTACTGATATCCTTAATATAAGCACTGTAGTCTTTATTCTTTCGTAACACCTGTTATTCAACATTTAGGTCATAATTTAGAATTCTCTCCATCTGACATATTCAATCAACTTATCAGCTATCATATATGCTGATTGCAACCTATGGATTTCATTTTTATTGATCGACATTTAATAATCTGTGATTTCCAATGACTTAAATGTTAATTTAGCAAATCTTACGTATTCTTATGTTATGTTTCGCGTCTTAATGTGGAAGACTTTACTTCGAACATTTATTATTTATATGTCTAATGTTTTCCGTTTTCGCTGTTGTAAATTTAAGTTTCTTTAACTATTTTCCAGCTGATTTAAATCATTTTTTTCTCATCGATGTCTAGTTACACATACTAATCATTGACAACCGCTATCCTTTCAAATTTGTTTAGCATAAGTCGATAGAATTATCAAATAGGTAACCAAAAAGCATTGTTGTTACTTGTTGCTAAGATGTAAATTTTCCAAGTGTTTGATTTTAAAGTTGAAATTAACCATTCTTTGTTAGTGTTAAAACTCACTCCGATGAATGCTTATGTATCTTGAGGAAATTTCAGTATAACATTCTTCACATGAATAGTATTCTTTCACGATAATATATCTGTATCAGAGACTACTCACCTTCTAGTTAAAATACTTCATTTTGAAATCCTTTTTGGTGAGTTTTCAGATCCAAATATACTGATACATTTGTTTTATGTTTAATATCTATAGACAACTGTCTAAAACCACCCACCTAAACTTCGCTATTGTTATCAAGACACTAATGATTCCTAACGAACCAAAATCTGTTTTCATTAAACTTGTAGTTATTCACATTTCTGCAGCATCAACTGACACTTCATCATTTACAGTAATCAATCACGTTTTTCTTTGTGAATTTGTACATGTGCAATATGCTGAAATCCATATAATCATACTCAAACTATGTATTATAATTATTAGGTATAAGAGACGAAGTAGGTCAATCAATATTGAAAACCAATTATCATCACAAATTTGAAACAGTCATAAAGGGTGATGTAATTGAAGCACCCCTAATCAATTCTCTCTAGCAAGTCTACCGAAAAAAATTTGCTAACTTACCAAATATTGCCCCTATTCACTAAATACACTATAAAATGCGTAATCCTGACTCATTACTAATTTTATTCTAGTTTAAAGATCACAAACTGCTTCAGTAAACTTTTAAGTTGTAAATAATAGTGATTTAATCATGCACCATTCATCACCGTACGATAAATAGATAAAGTCATTTTATCACTCCATGACTGCAAATATGTTTGTTCTAGAGAGTATTGGCTGTAAGATCCTGAGTTTTGACTGATCTTTGTTATATTCATCTTTTTTCTGGGAAAAAAACGGTTTCAAGCTTCTATGTGTTTCTCAATATGGATTAAATCATAAATAGGCTCTAGTTTATTGGCTAGTTTTATTTGTTTAAAGCTAACAATATAATTTGTATGTGACCATATTATTGATTGCATATTCGTTTTGTCAATTTACCTCCATGTTTATGTGAAAATTAATTGTTTCTCATCTATATTCATGTTTTTGTAATACATTGTATGTCTTTTTCAAATCGATACATTTGATTGTTTGAGGTGAACTTAATTCAATGATTCAGTTTTTCTCATTATTTGACAGTATCATACTGACAATCTATATCGCTTGTCCTTTCATCAATTAAATGTTTATGTCGTACAGATAGATTTAATGGAAAACAAAACCGATTTTTGGTAGGCATTATAATACAGTAGTGTCATGTTCGAACTATAAGTATTGAATCTTAACCTCCCACTCGGTCCCTCTTAGTCAACGTTGCTGCTACCTTAACATGGTGGTTCGATTTACCTATCGTGAAGGACCGATTGGGCTATATTCCCTCAGACAACCAGCATAACAGCGATACTGCCTTCCCACAAAGAAGGGTGGGGTTAGAAAAAGTTGACCCTAAAAATACACACCTCACCTTATCCCACGGATTTCCGTCTCCGGCGGTAAGGTCCAAACAAGTACGGAGCTAGAACGAAAATTCACAAAAAGTTCGTGTGTGTCCAACCTCAAGCAGTTGTCCCTTGGGCACTGCGGTCACACTCTCAGGTCACTAAGATCACCTTTAATCTAGTTTCTTTTTCAGATACCTCCGGAAGAACCCTTCCACGGTGTGAGCAACCGTGAAGAGATAACCCCTCTCATATCCGAACAGCACTCAAGATCACTATATTCACAATCCATCTCCCTCTTCAATTCCTATTATTTCTCATACATCGACTGTCAACACTAAACTTCCTCTTTAGGCATCCTGCTCAAGTGTTACCATAGCCAACGATTCTAGTGCGCAAAACACTACCGGGTCTACTGAAACCTTACTCCAAACTATACTTTGAAGACTTTAACGTACACACCCTTTGTCAAATGGGCCAACAGGCCTCCTTGGTTAAAACCCTAGAATCTTGTACCATTGATGTATGCTGTGTCTCGGAAACACATACAGGATTCTAGTGTGATCATCCACATGACCTCACTTCGCCAAAACTGAGAACCGATGAGATGCGCCCTCCGTGTACACCTGGCGACCCGATGCCTAGTTCTCGCGTACTGGTAGGTGTAGGCATGGCACTAATTACGAGGGCAAAACAAGCACTATTAGAGTGGATCCCCGTCAGCAGTCACCTATGTACTGTTCGACCAAACGGCTCTATAAGAATTCGAAAGGATAGGGACACAGATCGTTGCCTTTCTGTCGTTTCTGTCTACGCTCCCATTGTCTGCAGCTCGGATGAAGTGAAAGATGACTTTTGGAGAAAGCTATCTAAACTTCTTCATAAAGCTAAACACTCAGACATAGTACTCATAGCAGGTTACTTTAATGCCCACGTAGGTAGCTTAAATCAAGCACAAGGACATTTGGGTGGGTATTTTGGTATTCCGGCTCAGCGAACATATTGTAGCCGTCTGCTGCAACAATCGTTTTTTAGCAAACAATAATTTTAAGCATAAGGAGAGAAATCGTCTAACATGCTGCTCGCCTGCACCAATCCAACGATACACTCAAATAGACCATTTTATCATCAGTCATCGTTGGAGAGAGTCGATAGATTGTCGCTCATTGTTTAATACCTGCTTGGACTGCGATCATGCTCAAATACAGGCATGCGTTCGCTTGCACCTCACTGGGCCTCGAAAAGCCACACTAAGAATTGAATTGAGTGACGAGAAAGCCAAAAGTAGATTCCGGGAACAATTGAGGTCACACTTAAGTAGTTCTGAAAACGAGGCTGACTCAGATGTTGCTTGGAAAGATATACAAACAGCAGTGACATGTATTAGTGATCTAAACCAAAAAGTTACAAAAAACCAGTGGATTTCTTCTAAGTCTACTGCACTGATGGATTCTCGTAAACTCATCCCATCAGGCTCTAAACACGATGATGAACGAAAGCAAATCAGATCTAGGTTAAGCAAAAGTCTAAGGAGCGACCGTGAGCAGTGGTGGGCATCGGAAGCAAAAGAGATGGAAAAGGCGGCGGCTGTAGGTAACACCAGACAGCTCTTCAGACTCATAAAAGAAACTGGAACTAAAAAGTCAAGTGTAAGTGAGACTATCTCGGAAAAAGACGACGTTCTTATCTGCTCCCAGCACAGGCGTTTAGGACGGTGGGCAGAATACTTTAAGGAACAGTTCAGCTAGCCTCCAGCTACTCTACAACTACCCTTCATTCCCAGGCAGTATGAATGGAACATTGAAGTAGGTCCCCCAACTCTAGCAGAAGTTGATAAGGCTATAGTTAATCTGAAACGAGGCAGGGCAGCTGGTCCAGATGGATTGGCTCCAGAGGTCTTTAAGGATGATGGTTTAATTTTAGCGATTAGGTTGAATAATATTTTAGCTAAAATCTGGGAGTTGGACGTTATCCCATCTGACTGGTCGCAATCGTTTATTGTCCTGATATGTAGGAAGGGATAAAAATCGTCTTGTGACAACCATGGAGGGATTAGTTTAACTAATATAGTATCTAAAATACTAGCCTCAATAATTATCGGGCGCCTAACTAAGACTCGTGAACTGCAAACACGAGAAAATCAGGCTGACTTCAGACCCGGTCGTGGCTGCATTGACCACATATTCACCATTCGTCAGGTTCTAGAACACAGGCATACTTATCGACGTCCGACAATGGTGGTCTTTCTTGACTTAAAAGCAACATTTAACTCTGTAGATCGCGAGATTCTGTGGCAGTGTCTGTCATTGAAAGGTGTACCTCAGAAGTATATAAACCTTGTGAAGGCTCCTTAGTCGAACACTACTAGTCGAGTCAGAGCTTATGGACAACTGTCATCTGCTTCTGCAACCTCTAGTGGTGTCCGTTAAGGCTATCCACTATCTCCATTTTCGCTCAATTTCATCATAGACCTACTGATGGAAATAACGCTCTCGTCGACTAAATTTTCTGGCATTGATCTCCTAACAGGAGGCCTACTTATCGACTTAGAATACGCAGGTCACATAGTCCTGTTTGGTGAAAATGCCGATAAAATGCAGTCTTTTGGTAGCATTGTGCAACAATGCCAGGATGTTCGGAATGCGTTTCTCTCCCTCTTAATGCAAGTTGTTGCTTCAGAACTGGCCTGCGTCAACACCTAAACTAAGGATAGAGAGTGAAACAGTCGAGCGCTTCGACAAATTCACTTATTTCGGAAGTCTGATCAGCCCTAATGGGTTGGTGTCTGACGGAATCTTAGCACGGATTCGAAAAGCTCGTTTGGCTTTTGACAACTTACGTGACCTATGGCAAAGGTGAG